AGGTAGCTCCCCTCTTGTAGTAGAATAAAAGACAAATTCCTTAGCATGATTTTTCACAACCTGGCCCCATTCTGACTCTTTTAGACTTATTTTTCACCACACTCCTTTATATAACATGCACTGTCTCCAGCACATGACCTACAGATGATCATTTTCATGAATTTGCTCATGCTATACTTTTCTGCCCTGTATTCCTCTGGGGAATATCTATTTAGCCTACAAGGTCAATTCAGGTGGCAGTCTTCCCGAAGTTTTCTCCAGCCCCTTCTTATTTGAATTAATCTCTTTACCCTCTATATTCCTACTGATGTTGCTTATAATTCTGGTTCCTATTTGCATAGCTCTCTCAACAAAAAGCCTTAAAAGTCAGATCTGTGACATCTATCATTGTATTCCTCACATAATGATTCACATCTTAGTTATACAATAAATGTTTGTTGAATTGAATTAAAGTCAATTATTAGTTTTAAATGTTAATGTGAACTTTTGTAATTAGTGCTTTTAAAAATTTAATAGTTTAAAGCAAGCAAGTCTATTGTGTATTATGATCTATAGCGTTTTCACTAAATTAGTAATTACGAATGCAAAGATTGATTACTAAGCAGTTTACAAAGTGTAATGCAGGACTAGTGGTTTTTATCCAGAAGGGGTGTTAAAACACATTAGGATTTTTGCTTTCTGAGTATATTAAAAAGTCAGGTGGTATACATAGTTTAATTTTAAAACCAACTACTGGCATTACTGAGCTATAAAATGGTTACTTTGTTCTTTAGTTTCTTGACATTTGTTGCCATCTAGTGTGATATTTGAGTATTGCATGCCAAGTAGAAGGGATTATTTTGTATTGTATATTAACATTTATAATGGTATTTTAAATGTTTGAGGCTTTATAAGAAAATAAATATATAACATGAGAAAATTATAATGCCATGCATAGATTCTGCTATGGAACTACCTACTCTTCCACTTTCTAAGTCTGTGATTTGGTCAAGTTACTGAATATCTCAAAGTCCCAGTTTCTTCAACTAAGTGATAAGAACCACTTAAAACTTGTTAAGAGGGTTAAATAAATGAAGTCATGTGAAGTATCTGGAAAAGCAAAGTATCTGGCACATAGTAGGTACTCAATGTTTGTGTTTGAGTCTGCAAGTTATTACAACTTGGGGATACTTTTAAAAGAGGAAAATAAATTAACCTGGGAATAAAAAGGGTAGAAAAAAGTACAGATCTTTAGGTGACACTTTGGTAAAGTTACAAGAAGCAGATCAAAAGGTTAACCAGGCCTTAGACCTGCCGGCTTATATTGGAAGGGAAGTTGTTGGGCGGTATGTGGGAGTGCCTGAAGGGACAGGCTTTCATGTGAAGTTACCACAAGCATATCTGTAATTTTTTATTTCATGGGCTTTATTATGCAGAAATGAAGTCATGTTCATAAGTTTTCAAGTTCATATTCATAGATATAAACCATATTTCTCACGCGATCTTAATTTATCAGTCATGAATTCTCTTATCACAGGGATTTCTAGGAAACTAACCCTAGCAGTTGGGAAGGACTTTTATATGTCCTCCAATAGGTTTCCTGCTTTAAAAATTTGGTTGACTAGATTTGGACTTTGCTTTAGAAAATGTTGGACTCCAATAAGATAGTAGTGCTTAATGAAATCAGGACTGGGTATATCCAGTCCAATAAATTATGTTTTAAAAAAAGTATTAATGTGGTCAACATAGAATGACCACAAATAAAACATTTCTCAGAAAAGAAAAGGTCCTTTAAAGATTGAATCTGTTGGATGGAGGGGAAAGTGTCATTCCTCAGCTTTCCAAGACCTACACCCCTTTTCACCGAGGAAGAGGTTGTACTCAGGCGAAGGGAGATGCTACCAGCTTGGGACTGCTAGGAGAATAGCAACTACAGGCTCCAAAATAACTTGGTCATCGATTAAGTTCTATCATTTAATCATAATTGACTGTTCACTGACCTAGTCTTTGAAAATTCACTTATTTTTATTGAAGGGCTAGAGGCATATAATCTCAGGGGTACTCAGTCAACTGGGATTCTGGAAACTGGAAGGAAGACTCCTAGAATTAAATGAGAATGCTTTAATGAAGATTGCATATAAATGTTAGTCTAAGAGACCCAATCTTTTAGTGTGTGTGGTCCATTGTAAGACAGATATTTTAAGATTAAATCACATTTCTAATGTCATGTATTACAAAGCCTTAATAATGTCTTCATTGTGATCAGGCATATATGTTAAAATCAAAACAAGTACAAGTAAAAGCTGTTCTATAGCATGGAATCATTGGTGCCACACCAAGAGGCATGAATAACCAGGTTTTAACCTGTTTTTTGTTTGTTCGTTTTCTTTTTGAGCTGGAGCCTCACTCTGTTGTTGCCCAGGCTGGAATGCAGTGGCACGGCCATGGCCACCCCAGCGTGGACCCGCTGGGCCCCGGCCATCCTTCCGCCTCGGCCTTCCAGGTAGCCGGAACTACAGGCGCGCGCTACCCTGCCCGGCTCATTTTTGATTTGTTGTAGAGACGAGGTCTCGCCAAGGTGCCCGGGCTGGTCTCGGACCCACGGGCTCAGGCAGTCCATTCGCCCTGGCCTCCCAACGTGCTGCGATTGCAGGCTGAGCCCCGAGCCCGGCCTCAGCCTGGCTGTTGTCAGTCGGTGTTTCTTGGCTCCCCTCGTACTTCCCTCATCCTCCGTTGGGTGTGGCTAGACCTAGCGGAGAGCCGGGCGTTCACCAAACCCAGGTGTCAGCCGTGGTTTCCTTTACGTGACGTGCACCTTCTCGCTTTGTGCTTTCTGCGGTATCATCCTGTCTTGGCATTACGCCTCTTATCTTAGCAGGATCGTTTAATGTTTCTTGTTCCTTGGCCGACCGAATTCTTAGAATTGGTTCTTCAGTTGCTTTGCATGGTAGCCTGACTTCAGCTCTTCAGCAGTCTCTCCTTCTGTTCCTGTAATTAATGATGTTGACGCCTGAGTTTCTGTTCAGCTGAAGACTTTCTGACTGGACATATCGGTGTGTATTCAGTAATCATTTTATCCATTCATGCGAACAGTATTCATCCTATCAGTTCAAGTTTCGAGCATTTTGATTAGGTTCGTGTGAAATATTTTTCACAAGAGCAATTGCATTGGAAGCACAAAAGTCACTAATAATTTTTCTTTCAAAATCCAATTTAAAATTTCCTTTTCTAGGCATTCTCAACTAGAATTGGACTTAGGAGAATCATTTCTTAGTCATTTTAGTTGTTTATCGGCTATCAGAGGCAACTGAATTTTACCCTTATATTTTATGCTTAGGAGTACAGAAACTTTTCAGAATAGATTTAAAAAATTGAAATTTAATGCTTTCCAGATGAAGAAAGGAAAATTCCCATATCCTTAGATATTTATTGTCTGTATTTATTATAGCTTTCACCAGAGGGAAACAGCTATGCATAACACAGTGTTTATTGAGGCCATTTCCATCTCCATTAAAATCAAATATGACTATCAAAGTGATATGACTGTCAAATTTATAACCACACGGTATGAAAGACCTATGAGACTTGGGTTTCTTTCTGCCAATCTAGGTGAAAAGAGAGATTGAGTAAGGTGAATACTGTAGATAAAAACCACTGGGATAAGACTAAAATGTCATAGTACCTTAATTTTATTGGAATTTTTAGAAATTGGGTTAGAAGTCATGTTTTATTATTGGGTATTATACATAAAGATATTGGAACTGTGGCCAAAAACAAGTTAGAAAGTTTTTATATCTGGAAATGCAGAGTGGGAAATCTAGACTAAAGGACACTTATGGACTTTTACCAGAAATGGAAGATGACGATCCTCATAAAACTAGGTAGTGAGAGCCGTTTTGAGTCTTTCCTTATTTTAACTTTTGATTATTACATAATTTTTACTTTAGTTTTGTGTTTAAGGGGAGTGAACTAAATCTTATCTTAGTTATATTTAAGGAAACTTGATTATGATATAATATTACACAATAGGCAGGGCGCGGTGACTCAAGCCTGCAATCCCAGGACTTTGGGAAGCCAAGGTGAGAGGACTGCCTGAGCGTGTGGATTCGAGACCAGCCCGGGCAACTTAACGAGACCTCAACTCTACAATAAATCAAAAAAATTAGCCAGGTATAGTAGCGCACACCTGTAGTTCCGGGCACTTGGAAGGCTGAGGTGGAAGGATCTCCTGAGACCAGCAGGTCTACGCTGGAGTGGCCGTGAGTGCGTCACTGTCTTCCAACCTGGGTGACATAGTGAGACTCCAACTCGAAAAAAAGAAAGAAAAAAAGAAATTAGTTAAATTGGATACTTATTTATTTTATAAAATATGAACATGATGTGGAGTTGAAAATATTAGAACATTTGGTTTTCTTGATCTCCTTTTTCAAAATTCTGATTCATCTGTGGCCCTCATCAAGGTTCATTACCTAAATTGTGTAATTAATTAGTTAATGTAGCCCTAATTGTGAAAATTAGAATATGTGAATAAACGTAACACTTAGATACTGTTTTAGATCAGTGCTATTTGTAAATAAAAACAAAATTATTCTAATGGACGTCATAATGAGTTTTAACTATTCCAAATAAAATTAAAGCTTAATTATCAGCCAGACTTGGTGGCTCAGCCTATAATCCCAGCACATTGGGAGGCTGAGGCGAGTGGATTGCCTGTGTCCACGGGTTCGAGACCAGCCTGGGCAACTTGGCGAGGCCTTGTATCTACAATAATTTTTTAAAAAAATTATTCGGGCGTGATAGCGTACACCTGTAGTTCCAGTTGCATGGAAGGCTGAGGTGGAAGGATCGCCGGAGTCCAGCAGGTCGAGGCTGCAGTGGCTGGGAGCAGCCACTGCACTCCAGTCTGGGTGACAGAGTGAGACTCCAACTCAAAAAAAAAAAAAAAAAAAAAGTTTATCTAATTTTTCCTTTACTTTTTTCCAAATTCTAAATTCTCCTTTCAATCTGTTTTATTCTGGCAGGCTTTAATTCAATGTGAGCAGTTGAAGAATGAGCTGGAACGGCAGGCAGAGCGACTTGAAAAAGAACTCGCCTCTCAGCAAGAGAAAAGGGCCTTTGAGAAAGAGATGATGAAAAAAGAAGTAACAAAAGAAAGGGAGGACATGAAATCAAAGGTACTTAAGGACTCTGCTGTTATCCACTTTGTAGAAGAAATGTTTTTTTGTGGTATCATTGATGAATCTTTAAACTGAAGTTCTTGAATGAACTTTAAATTTTAAAACTTTTTTTAACAAATAGTCACATTTCTTCTAATTTAGAGCTCATATAATTTAGAGTTTTAAATGTTTTGATTTTTCATATATTTCTCAATAAAGTTTTTTCTCTGGTCTTTTTAAATAAAATAACCAGTTAGATTTCATATTACAAAATTGTGAAATTTACTTGAATCCTACCATTCTGTTTGATTCCCTTTCTGATGTTTGCCAGAAGAGAGAAAGTGCTCTGAAGACACCCAGATTTTACTTCAGTTTTGGCTAAATCAAGAGAACTGACATTCCCACTTTACCCCAAATTAAACACGAAGAAGATAAAACACTTTTAAGAAACTGAGTAACCAAGAAAAAGTGACTATGAAATCATTCTTTATGAAGTCAGTTCTAACAAATTAAATAATGAATAATGACTGTAACCAGATGAAGACAGAAATGAAAAGAAAAAGGAACAGACAACATGCTATGGACAGTGTTTGAGAAACAGTAGAAGTTGAGTGGAACCTAGCTTTAAATTGCTAAATAGAATAAAATTGAGCAAGTAACCAAAACACCTGTGTAATAGGCTTTCTTTAAAACGTAGACTCACAGCTTGTACTCTTAATACTGTATTGTTATAATATGCCAAGGTGTGATAATTAACTCATTCAGCAAATCTCTGAGTATTTGCTGTGTGCAAAGCAGTGTGCAGGCCTAAGGATATACAAAGAGAGAAATTACAACTTCCATCTAGTGAGTTTTAAGTATTATGGGTAAACTGAGGCATTCACTGTAAACTCACTTGTCTTCATAATCTTTTTTAAAAAGTATATCTGTCAGGCAGGTGTGGTGGCTCATGCCTATAATCTAGCACTTTAGGAGGCTGAGGCGGGAGGATTACTTGAGCCCAGGAGTTTGAGACCAACCTGGGCAAAGTAGTGAGACTAAGTCTTTACAAAAAATAAGAAAAAGTTATCTGGGCGTAATAGTGCATGCCTATAGTCCCAGCTACTCAGGAGGCGGAGGCGGGAGGAATTACTTGAGCCTGGGGGAGAAGGAGGCTGTGGTGACCCATGATTGTGCCACTGTGCTCCAACCTGGGTGAGAGAATGAGACCTCGACTAAAAAAAAAAATTATATCTATCAAAATCCTACTCTATCAAAATCCTACTCAGTCTCACTACCTACTTTTTCTGCCCTGTACTGATGATCTCAGCTAGTGAAAATCATACAAACCTGCAGATGGCACTGCTATACACTCAGGATCTTTTTTTGGTGCTTTCTAGCAAATCCTTCTATGCATTCCTCTCTCCTATTCATTATTCATTCAATAGATATTAACTGGAGGGACTGAGAATGTGGTAGTCACAGGACCAATGCAACTTCCTCATAATGCTCACGGGCTAGCAGAAGTTGACATGTATTTGTTAAACAGATACTTTCATAGATGAGTTGTTTTTTTGTTTTGTTTTGTTTTGTTTTGAGTTGGAGTCTCACTTGGTCGCCCAGACTGCAGTGACCGCTCCCGGCCATCGCAGCTTCGCTGCCTGCTGGGCTCCAGTGATCCTTCTGCCTCAGCCTTCCGAGTAGCCGGAATTACAGGCACATGCTACCACACCCGGCTAATTTTTTTTTATTGTAGAGATGAGGTCTCACCTGCCCAGGCGGGTCTCGAACCCTCGGGCTCAGGCAATCCACTCACCTCAGCCTCCCAAAGGCGCAGGATTACAGGCTGAGCCACCGAGCCCGGCTCATAGATGAGTTTTTAATCATTGTGATAAAGCCATGAAGGTTCAGTATAGGGTAGGGGAGTCTGACCTATTCTAGGCAGTCATAAAAGACTTTCCTGACAAAGATTTCGAAAATGAGACCTGAAAGGATCCAGGAACCGTCAGGTGAACAGTTGAGGAGAAGAATGTTTCAGGCCCAAGTAAACAACACATCCAAGGCTCTGGAAGCTGGAAAGCATCATACTTTCTAAGAATCCAGAGAAGACCTGAATGGCTGGAGCATAGGGGATAAGGAAGAGAATAGTCGGGTGAGTTTGGAGAAGTATGCTGGGACCCAATCACAATAGCCTTAAAATCCATGGGAAGAGCCGGGCTCAGTGACTCAGCCTATAATCCCAGCACTTTGGGAGGCCGAGGCAATGGATTACCTGAGCCCACAGATTCAAGACCAGCCCAGGCAACTTGGCAAGACCTCATCTCTACAATTAAAAAAAAAAAAAAAATGAGCTGGGCGTGGTAGCGCATGCCTGTAGTTCTGGCTACTTGGAAAGCTGAGGGAAGGATCGCCTGAGCCCAGCAGGTTGATGCTCGGTAGCTGTGAGCATGCCTCTGCACTCCAACCTGGGCAATGGAGTGAGTTGGAGTCTCACTTGGCCCCCCAGGCTGGAGTGCAATGGCAAGCTCACGGCCACTGCAGCCTCGACCTGCTGGGTTCAGGCGATCCTTCCCCTCAGCCTTTCAAGTAGCTGGAAATATAGGCGCGTGCTACCATGCCCAGTTTATTTTTTGATTTATTGTAGAGATAAGGTCTCCACAATTGCCCAGGCTGGTCTTGAACCCATGGACTCAGGCAATCCTCTCATCTCAGCCTCCCAAAGTTCTGGGATTAGAGGCAAGAGCCACCACGCCTGGCCTAGGATTTTAAATTTTATCTAAAAAGTGATGGAAAGCCATTGAATGGCTTTAAATTGAACAGTGTCATGATACCGTTTATATTTGAGAAAAATTATTTTGTCAGTAGATTGGTAGGAGAACCAGAACAGATGCCTGGAAATGAGGTGGGAAGCAATTATAGTAGTCCTGGTAGGAAGTGATGGTATCTTGGGCCCATTTTTCAAGAACTATTTCAGATCACCTTTATTTTCCTCAATTTCTCTACCACACCTCTTTACTTCTCATTCTCAGCAGAGAACCGGACTTACCTAACAAAGAAAATTGAAGCCATTAAGTAATAACCACCTCAACTATTTATCCTCCCCCTCATCTCTACCTTAAAATAACCTTTCATGCCGGGCTTGGTGGCTCAGCCTGTAATCCTGCGCCTTTGGGAGGCTGAGGTGAGTGGGATTGCCTGAGCCCGCGGGTTCGAGACCCGCCTGGGCAGGTGAGACCTCATCTCTACATTAAAAAAAAAA